GAAACCACATGTGGCAAAACAAACATGTTATATTTGGTGTAAGAACTAAATATTCTGCATTTCTTCACAGCAAGATGGAAAACTGCCGTTTGTTCCTGGAGATGAGGAGATGGTCCTGGGAGTATCTAAGCACGGGGTCAAAGTGGCGTCAGTAGACCAGTGTGTGAGTAGCTCAGCTACCATTTGGTTTTAAAAACAAAACACAGTTTAGTTTTCTCGCATGCAAAGGTAAAACATATTTATAAAGATTTTTTTTATCTTTTCTACAGCTAAAAAATAAAAACACTGCAGCTCAGTCTGTTCTGCTTGAATATGATTGGATTAACCAATTAATAATCAGATAATAAAAGGTGCATAATGGGAGATTTCCTTCAGAGAATCTGAACCAGGTGAAGCTGAAATGCCACTTGAGGGATTCTGTGTAGATCACATTTGCAGACAGAAGGTTTTCCATCTCAAATGCAAAATGTACATAAATACATGCATATGTGTGTATATTTTGTAATTTTAGATTTTATTACTGCTGTGAGTGTTTCAGGAATTGGCATGTTTTTCAGTCTGTAAACACTTATCGATTAATCAAATACTAAAAGACTTGATGATCAACCAACTGATTCGCTAAATGAGCTGATGATTAATTGAACAATTAATCATAAATACTCTAATTTAGCTGACAATTAACCAGTTAACAAGATTGTTAGCTGACGATTAGTTGATCAATCATTTAATCACGACTAATCAATAAGTAAATTACCCGATGGTTAGATAACTAATCAGTCACGAATCCCTTCATGCACTCGGTGGGTTTGTCGTGTCCTCTGGGCAGGACGTGCTGCATCGACACCCTCTCTACCTGATCGTTCGCATGCTGTGCTACGACGACGGCCTGGGCGCCGGGAAGAACCTGCTGGCTCTGAAGACCACTGACACGAAGCAGCAGCAGTGCAGCATCTGGGTGTACCAGTGCAGCAGCTCGGTAAGTGCTTTTAAATATTAATGCACCTGCTGGGGTTCGTTTTCATCGTCAACTGATCTGTCTGTGTCTGAACAGGAGCAAGCTCAGAACATCTGCAAGGTGCTGTCGGCCTCTTTCGACTGCGCCCTGTCGTCAAACAAACCCTGACGCTGCTCTGCTTTTACGCCCATCAGCCGCCGGCGTAGCATTAGCTTACCCAGGATGCACCTGCTTTGTAGCAGAAGGTATCCAGGGTGCTGCGTCTGGTCACCTTTCAGTGTTTTAAATATTTAACCAACCCGTGGTTGACGGATTTACTGTGAGTGTTTTATTTACCCCCTCATTGAATGTATTTCTGTTTACTTTTGTATTTTCAAACTAAACACCAAAAAGCAGAGCATTTCTAAAAAGTGATTTAATATAAATTGAAATGCTAAATGGTACAAAATGCTCCAGCCCGTTTGCAGTAGATGGGAAACATTAATCGGCACCAAAACAACAGGGTACAAGTTCAAAGGTTGCTCCTCTCTGAGGAAACGATCATCATGTTGTTTTCCTCATGACAGTATTGGTACAGTCAGTTTTTAAAACCTCTGTTTTTAGATTTTTAGTTTAATTGGTAAAAACATTTGGTACCAAATCCTTGTTTTGAATTGATTTATTACAGTGATTATGTCTGCAGATATTCTGTTTTATGTGCATGTTGCGGGACTTCTGTTTACAGTTGTGGACTTCATGTTGTACGATAAGTTTTCTGTTTCACTTTGTTCAAAATGTGAGGAAAAAAAAAATAAATGACTTGATGTGGTGCTTTTTATGTGGGATTTTGAGTGATTTTTAATTTTTAAAACCAACTAAATTCAGTCAAGTTGGATGGAAAGCATCCAGCTTCAGTTAGATTTAGGTCCTTTCTTTGACTAGGCCAACCCTACACAGTAATATACTGCAGGAAGGTGAACCATTACCTCAGCCTTAAGTTATTCACATTGTAAAACCGGTTTTCTTTATTTGTACTGCTCAGATTCTCCATACAAATAAACCAAAAGCAACCCCACAGAATGATGCTGCTACTACCACGTTTTCCTGTGGAGTGGGTGTGTTAGCTGTGTTAAACTTAAAGCACTAATCAAACAACGCTAATGCTAAAGCAGTAGTTCCGCTAGTACGCTATGCCAATATGGTATTTATGCTAACTTGAAAACACTAATCAAACAGTTTGGCTAACAATAAAGTGATACACAAACATGAGTAGCAGAAGCTAATGCTGAAGCGCTAATCCAACATATTAGTGCTGCTAATGCACTACATTTTATATTTGAAAGTTTGTTTGTTCATGTGTTTTTCTGTACATTTAATTCATTTGTTGTATATTTGCCACTCGCTGTTTCTTAAAAAAAATTAAACAACAAGGGGAGGAAACAGACCTGCGAAAACAGTCTTCACTCACTTCAAAAGGCAGCATAAATATAAACATCTGGCCAACTGTGGAATTAACAGTCGAAAACCAAAACTTCAGAGATGATGGACTTTATTCAACTGAACGTTTACAAAGCAGGCAAGTAAGTTGGCTGGTTTGTAAACCAGAAAAGTAATTTATGAGAAGCTAAAAGTTAGCAAAAATGCTAAGTGAAAAATTAGCTCCCCTACAGAATAATCGTGTTTACGCCGAGGTTAATTTTCTAATGAGGTGACATTTGAAGGGAATTGGTTGCATCAGATTTTATTCAGGGCCATCAGAGTGAAGGAATAACACTTTTCAGATGTTTAAAACTATGTAATATTGCCCTTTCACTTAATTACTCACCGCTATGTGTTGGTATAATCCAAATAAAACGTGATTGTAATGGGCCAAAGTTCTGGGGTTGTAAATACTTAAGCAAATCATTCCAGATACATTTATTGGGGTTTTGATTGGGTTCATATTTTTTTCAACTCTGTCTGGATTTGTCCGTTCGTATTTTGGGAGAAGGTGATGTGTGCATTTTTAAATTCTCACCAGTAGAGGGAGCCCTTAGTGCATTATTTTAAAGCTTTGAAAACGTGTTTTTGTTTTTCTTTTTGCCTGCTTGGTGGGGAAAAAACTGGTTGCTGTTGGACAGTAAATGAGTCAATTAAAAACTCCAAACAATCACACAAAGCCTTATGACATTATTCCATAATTTATTTTTCCAGTTGAACTTTTCCCATTTCCTTGCACGTTAGGAGTCAGGTTAGTGGTGATCAGACAGTTTGTCTCATGGCGGAAGTCGCTGGAAGACATTAACCGCTCTGACCTCTTAAATACTCAAACAAAACCCAAATCTATTTACATAAATAGGTCATTACATCTTGTTTCCAGTGAGTTCTTACATTGAACGAAGAGACAGATCCTCTTCTTGTCATTCACAAATCCATGGAAGGCTCTGATTTCAGGTTAAATGCTTAAATATCAACAATATGAACAATAAGTTGCTCTGCAACTACGATGACGTTAAGTACACTATTCTTAAAAGCATCTACATCTCATGAGCCCAAACAGTGAGGACCTTCCTGGGTGGTTGTGTTGAGGGTCTCAGGCTTGATGCCGACTAAAGAAAGCAGCCTGTTACTAAAGACAACCGTTCTCCCACTTTACTTCACATTCCAACAGTTTTAAATCTCTTCTTGTAACATGCAGCTTATTATGCACAGACAACTCATCACCTCCAACACAAACGTCTCATTCTTTTCATATGAAATGAGAACCAAAGACCTTCATCATTTATCAAGAACGCAACAACCAGCTTGTTTAGAAGTTGCTGTGTGACCTAAAGGAATGGGGCGGTTACCGGCGGAGACCTGGTTTGGGTGGATAAAGGTACAGACCTGGTTTGGGTGGATAAAGGTACAGACCTGGTTTGGGTGGATACTATCTGAGCTTGTAGCCCGTCAATATAATAACCTAACAGTGGCTGTTGGCAATATAAGCAACACAGCTGTCCTCCCAGGCTGCCATTCCACCAGTGGGTAACATAAGCAAACAAACAAAACGTTTGTCAACTGAAACCAGAATGAGTTTTCTATTGCTTCCCCCGCTTGTTTTTGCAGTTAAAACACCGTCCAGCCAGCTATAGATGGCGGTGTTGGCATGTGATATCTGAAAGATTCTGTTTCACACTTATAATGAACAGATATTATAACTAATAATTATTTTCTGTTTAAATAAAAGCTGCTTGACCATTCTGATACATTTCTATTTGACTATGAGTCACATACCCAAGCCGATGGTAGACCACTACATGAAACTAAAACAGGTGTGTGTGTGTGTGTGTGTGTGTGAGAGATGCATTAGCATAAATTCATCACAAAAGTCAGGAAGTGTTTTTCTTCCAGCTGCGGAGGGAAGGAGGAGGAGCAGCTCTGCTGGCTTGGAGAATACTGAGGTTAATTTAGCACCATTAGGAAAAATCCTCCACACAGGAGCGTCACTAAAGATCTACAAACACTGCATCTACATGCACAGGTATGGAATGTAAGCATGTTGTCTAAGTTCACATTTAGAGGTGTTAAAATCGATTTTCCTGCACACTGCGGCTCTAGAGATGAAATAAACACTGTTCATGTGACCTTCATTTTGTTAAAACATGGTTTGTGACAGAAAGAGTTTGTTTATTGCCAAAGATTGTTCAGTGAAAACATTGATTTCTTTAGATTCTGAGTGAGGAGCTGAACCTCATGGGTCCTCAGACGGATGGCTGGCGACCAACGCAGCATCTCGTGACGCCTCCAGAGGACCCGAGCGGTCCGTCAGTCGGTGATGAAGAGGACGAAGGTGACGGGGAAGGCGCCTCTTCTCATTGGATCTCCTTCTATGTGGCCCAGCTGTGCAGAAGAAAGACAGAAAGGTTAGAAAAGAACTGAAAACCAAATGGAGGAAAAAATAAACAGCTCTTACTGAATTAGATCATCTAAAAAACACACAATTATTTCTGAAGATGTAAAAAACGCTAAATAAATAGTGTTTTTATTGCAGCACCATTATTTCACACAGAAAATTTAGAAAAATCTAAATTTTAAGGAATAATTACCAACAAAGTGATTAGTCCCCTGACAATATATAGCTATTGTATCTCTGGGGTATAAATATGACGTGACACAGTCTGTGTGCTACTAGCCAGTAGAGGAAGCTAATCTTCAAAGATCAACAGCAGCAAAGTGTGACATCTTGTGGTCTCCATAGAAACCATTAGATGCCAAAGGAAGCCATTTGGTTAGGAAGCATGAAAGGTCAAAGTTTTTCCATCCTACAGTCACAGAAGTAAGCAGAGTTTGCTCACCTTTACTGGGGCTTTAATGGTCCCTGTTCAACACAGCAGGTCTTGATGCTTAAACACAATTTCTTGCTGATAACCTATTTTTTATCTGCATGGTTGTTTTTTCTACTACGGTAATTAAATGGAACCGCAATTAGACTTCTGTGTGAACAGTTTAAAGCAGCGCTCCGTTTATGGCAGTAAAGATGGCCAATGCTGACCATGGATGGGTTATAAAGTTGTTCAGAGTGACAGCTTAGTTTCCAGCTCAGAACCAGACGAAGGAAGCTGATAAAACGAAAGAACAGCTTACAACAACGGCCTTTAGTGCAACACTGACTGCAGCTTCTGGAGAGAAGTCTGTTTGGATGTGATGCTCTTGATTGACACAGATTTATTTTATAATTATAATTTTTTTAGTTATTGCTTACATCCAGATTTACTGCGTTGGATAAAATGCGTCATGACCATCAGACTGCAGACGCTTTTAAAACAATGCGATGTGATTCAAGTCCACATGTGGAAGTGGCACAAATCAGATCTCATTAGGGTGAAAAGTTTGGAATTGGGCAGTGAAAAAGTCTGGCGCATATCCTGTGCTGTGTGAACGTAGACTAAATGGATATGGATATGGCGTGGGATCTGTCACAAACCTGTTGAATTATCAGGACATTTTAAATAAAAATCTCCTGGACTTGGCCTGTAAACTAAAACTGGGACATCATTGGGTCATTAAATAGAAATAAATTAAATATTAAATGTATGCAAATTATATTATTAGGATCCAAAACGTGGCCAAATCAAGTCATAAATATCTCAAACACAAAATCAACCACTTTAGACCCCAGATCCTCTGCAGCCTCAATGCTGCCCTGCTAGCAAAAGAAGGTTATTAACAGCAGTAATAAACGCCTTTGGCTAAGTGGCTCATTTAATTAAAGCTGATATTTCTCAGTGTGATGTTATGGTGTTGCAATAAAAGATACATTAATGTTAAGCCTTTTCACAGATCTTTCCCAGACCAGCCATCAAATGTGGCTGGACGTTAGATCCCTGCTGAACACACACACAAGCACACGACTGGTTGGTTTTAATGAATAACCATTTTCACTCAGATGATCCAACACTAATTAATTTAAAACCAAATCATCTGACTAAGTTGTGATAAATGGCTAAACATACTGGAAGGAAAAAAGATGAGATGACATCCAAAAGTATATAATAAAACAAAGTAATTTGTCATTTTTATTTATTTTTTAGGCTTTTCTAATTCAATTCTGTGAGACTTTTGGACAGAAAACAAAAGCACCCATCAACACTACCTGCTTTAACAATTGGTTTCCTCTGGTTTTTGTTGTTTTACTTCTATAAACCTTTTGGAAATCAGATCATTTTCTACTTCCAACTACAAGTAAAAGTTTTCTTCATGACTACCCAAGGAGCTTTTAAATTCAAACCTTTCCAAACGTATTCACATTACATGTTACATTACAACCACATTTTTATTGAGATTTTCTGGGCAAGAGAAACACAAATTAGTGAAGTGGAAGAAGCAGATAGATGGTTTTCAGTGACTGACTCACTGCAAGTAAAGCATAAATACAATGGTAACATTTTTACTTGAGGAAAAGAAATTTCCTGTGTGGCCATGTTTCCAGAAGGTCAAATAACACTGTAAAACACACCATCCCTGATAGTAAACGGTGGTGGCTGCATCATGGAGAGGGAAATGGTTTCCTTCAGATTAGTGAGAGAGGAAGGGAAGACGGATGGAGCTAATACAGAACAAACCTGGAAGAAAACCTGTTGAATGCTGCAAAAAAACTGTATCCAGAGTTACAATTAATGGTTTAGATCAGACGTCTTCAATGTCAACTGCTAAAAAAAACAAACTATTTCTGACAAGACTAAATGTGTTGCATGAGTGTGAATACTTTTGTAAGGCACAGCAGATCATCTCCTCTAATTAACCACATCCTAATCAACTAAAACCAGGATTTTCTGAAGCAGAACTGAGTCGAGGTGAACATCTAAACGGCACACAGGTCAACCACAGTCTAATCACATCAAATGTCCAACTACTGAGATTCCCTCTTTCATATTACCTGGGATGGTAAAGAAGAAAGTAAGTCATTTTAAACGTTGTCTAGACCTGAAAATAAAAAGCTGGGACATGTTCTGCTCCGGTAATGTTCACAAATAAAAGCAACAAGTCAGGAAACAAATCTGATTACTGAACAATGCAGTAATCTGATAGTAAGTGATATTGATGCAAAGTCTGCCTCCATATCACCATCAATACCTTCAAAGCAAAAGCAGCACAAACATAGTGGAGTTGATTGACACTGATTTGGTGAGGAGCTGGTTAATATCTTTAAAATGACAGCGGCACAAATGAAAATGCTGCACAAACGTTTGACACCAATTATGTTAAATTTGAAGAAGGTGGGTGAGGAAAACTTCCCCCAGACAACCTTCGTGTTAATCAACTCAACATTAGTGCAGCAAAAAATTTAGTTTGAGCTGGTATCATTTAAAGATATTAAAAAAAGTTTCCAAAGGTCCCCCCCCCCCCAAATCTACAAAATCAAACAAATTTGGTGTCAATAAACTCAGCTACATTTACATGCAGCAACAATTTGTGCTGCTTTTGCTTCGAATATATTGATGATGACCTCTGGAAACATTTATTAATATCTTTGAACTGATATTAGCACAAACCAGCACAAGCATTTGACACAAATTTTGTTATTCTAAATAAAGGGAAACTGATTAAATAGAAACATCTTCACACATGGCTCAGATGAAAACAGACTTCCATACGGCCACATCTGCGTGGCTCAGATGAAAACAGGCTGCAGCTGGACCCCGCTAACAGAGGAATCAGCATCAGTGGGTGGAAAAAGAGGACAAGGTTGGGAAAGTGTGTGGGTGGTGTTGGCTGGGATGAGGTCAGCTTTCTGATTTCGGCCAACATGGCTCCAAAGAGGTCCGAGAGAGTCACACGGACTGACCACGCTTTGTGATTTCATGGGAACAGTTTTAAACGATACTAACCCACCACTCCTGGTCCTCCTCTCCATCCACCACGATCACCTCGCCCTCGGAAAACGTCAGCTCGTCTGGGTTGTCAGCTATGCAGTTGTAGATGGCCTTTACCCGCTTTGGTCTCTGCTTCTGAGGGAACTAGAACAAAAACAGGCAAAAGTTTGATTTGAGTCTTAGGCCCAATTTCCTAGTGTTACCCAAACTTTTCTCTTGGCGATTTAATTCAGGAAGGGGTTAAAATATTGAACCATCATCAGGTAAACATTTACTAATCCTGCAGCGAATTATTCATGTGCAATACATCAAAAGGTGTACATGTTACTGATTAAAATAAAAGTAACATAAGAGGAAAATATCCAAACCAGGGATGCAACTAAATTATTTTAGTAATCAATTATTTTGACAGTTGAAGAAAAATATTGTCACATTCTGCAGCTTGTTAACTTAATGATTTATAGCTTTTTATACAATATTGGACATACATTAAAAGATGCAAATAAATAATTCACCTCATTTTATGAATAATAAAATAAACATTTTTATTTGTTTTAAAAAGGAATTGAAGCTAGTGAGTATGAAAAAGTATTAAAAAAACTGAACCTTCCTAAGTAATCGGCAGAAAAATCATTATTTATTAACTTTCCTGTCTTTGCAGCTAAAAAAAAAAACATTTTCCACTATTTGTTTTTACAGTTTAAGATAATCTTTGACTTGGTTCAACCTGTACAATAACAGCTGCAAACCCTGAGAATAAGTGGCTAGAGAACAAACTGTAAATGTGTTAATTATCCATGCTAATTGTTGCTGACGGGATATTTAGGGAGATTTTTATCAGTTTGGTTGTTATGTCTAACAATAAGAGGAGCATATCCAAACAGATGTTCCATGTTTGCATGTTCTAGAAACTAGGCTTAAAACGGCTTCTTTATTCAAAGTGAGAGAGGAGAGTCTTAGTCAAAGCCCACATGTGGACTACAGGAAGCAGATTTAATGGACAGGAAGTCAATATAAACTCTGGAACAACAAGAAGAAAGATTACAGAACACAAATAAAGAAAAGAAATGAAAATATAATGACGCTGTGGAACAAAACAAACAACTGACCAAAATACAACTTGGATGAATATGAAGACAAATGAAAGACTTACTGGAAATGCTTTCCTTGATGCGGGGGCCGGAGGCACCGAGTTCTGGGGGCATCCTGGCACTTCCTTAGCTGGAACAGGAAACAGGAAACTACATCACACAAACAGCAAAACTTTCCATGCTTTCAAAGGGAAGGTGGAAAAAACTCCAGCAGATGGACAGTATGACATGCTACCTTCTGTTATATGGATGCCTTCCTGTTTATTTACTCACCTGCTCGTTCTACAGATTCACTTTGATTCAGGAATCCTCGGCTGAAGCTTTTATCATTGCTGAAAGTAAAATAAATATTCAGTTTACCATTGAAGATACCAGCAGCACTGCTGCACATTTATTACATTAATGTTAGAGCCGTGATGTTTACATGACTCCACCTTTTCTTTTTGTTCTTACCCAGCAGGGGATTTGGGTGGCACTGACCGGGTCCCCAGTGGACCCTGACCTGACTTGGACTGGATGCTCATAGCTTCCATCTTGGCTACGGGGGCAGGACCCAGACCTACAACACACATCGGAACAAGATTTTAGAATAATAAACCTCTCAACAATGGACTCTTTTTTAAGATAATGGAAACCAGTGAATGTATGACTGAAATGCAGCAGTGAAGGTAGAGATCAGACTGAACTTCATGAGGAAGCTTGGATACTTCAGGAGATGATGGTGCAAAGAGGGATTTTTACATAAAATCATCAATGATAATAAAGAAACTGAAACAAATATCTTATTTTGAAAATGCTAACATTACCCCATGCTTCCACTTGTGAGCAACACCTATTATCTAGCTTTTAAGATATGTTGGCTAACAGGAAGCTATATGCTATTAACAAGACACTGACATTAGCTAATATGCTTCCATGAGCATATCATCTATTGAAAGCAAACATGACCTTCTAGCTAAATTTAGCAAATGTACTAGCATTTTCTAAATGCAAGTAGTATTAGCCAACACCATCTGCCATGCTAACAAAATCCAAGTGACTGTCATTAGCTTAAATGATAAAACCATCATCTTCGCTAAAGACGGAATAGCTGAAAATGCTACTTTTAGCATCTTTGTTAACATTAGCCAATATTATGTGCTTTGCTAACAGGATCTCACATTATACAGTAGAATTTAAGTAGCCTCTTACCAAATACCTTCTTATTCTTCAGTAATTTCTTAGATGGTTACTTTTTACTTTCACTTGAGTAAAAACATGTTGATGTAGTGCTAATCTTAGTTGTGTTGGTTTTTCAGCCACGGCTAATGACAAGACATTTCAGATTAGAACATTGCATCAAACAAACAAAAAAAGATTTTAATACAAAAATGTTTTTTGTTTATGAAAAATAACACCTATTTAAAGGTTTTTTTTTTTCAAAAGGTACTTGAATATCACTGTATTTTTCTAAAATGCAATAACAGTTATGCTAACATTAGCATTTCAGAATTTAAATGGAACCGTTTAACCAATTACAAAATTAATTTACAAAACTGAGATGGCGGGATAGTATAAAAAAAGTTAAACAGATGTAATGAGATGTAACTCCAAGCGAGAACAGCTACCAATGGCTGTCATTTCTCAGGAATTTTTTATATGTCAGTAATCTTATTAAGTCATTTTTAACATCTTCAATCATTGCCTGGCTTGAACGTATCACAGACAAGGTTTCTATACATTTTGCTTGGTAAAAGTACTCTGTAAAATAACAGGGCAAGTATATGTGATCTAATTTCTTTAAATGATGTTTGTTAACTTGTAATGTTTTTGTATTGAGTCGAGTACGTTGTGTTACAAATTGACTTTTCCAAATTGGACAACAAATGATGATAATTTGGTCTCATCGCTTGGGTTCATACCTCCAGTAGAAGTGAGCCTCATTGGGGGAACAGGAGGGTGCATGTTGGGAGGGTCTGAGGACGACCGCTGCCGGCCGACCAGGTCTATAGAACCGGGTTTCCAGGTGCTGGAGGTGGCAGACTGACCGATCTCTCTCACAGAGGAGAACTGGGCTGAAAGAGATGGGAATGGAGGAACTTCATGCTTATCTGGACTTATCTGATTTCATTTATTCTCACAAATTACATCTAGATATTTCTGGCCCTTCCCGGTCCTGAGTTTCTGTCAACACGAGGTCTTACCCAGGTTCCTTGGGGGCAGCGGTGGAGCAGAGGTGGAGGCCGACTGAGAGGAGCCGGTGTTGAGGATGGTGCCGTAAGTCTCGTTGTTCACTAGGCTGGGCATAAAGAGGCGGTGCTTGTCCTTGCTCAGGCCCGCTCCATCCCGGCCGGCGGGCCCCAGACCGGACTGCAGGTGGGAGTTACTGCTGGGGGCGTAACAGCTGACGGGACGGTCGTCTCTCCGATGGGGGCTCGGCTGGAAGAGGTTAAAAGGAAGGATTTATTCTCAGATGTTCCAGCAAGAAACTAATTTCCACAGCTTCTCACAATTTAAAACTCAAAAAAAATCTTAATTGTAGGATTAGATTCTAATTTTGAAATACAAAATAATTTTAAAGTGTAACTAACCTCCTTGTGAAAACACAGCCCTTCCCCCAACAAATGTTGAAACATTTCATCAGTGGGTGGAGCCAAATTACTGGGGGCGTGGCTAAGTGTGAACAGGTGCGGACAGGAAGAGGGAACGCAATGTTCCCAACTTAACTTTGTCGCTATATTTAGCAATTTTTATTTTTCAATAAAACACAACCAGCAACAAATCTAACAACTTTTCTGGTAAAAATGGGGCACAAGTCAGAGTGAGATGATTGTAAACCATCTATGTGACGCTGACATCAACCAAACTATATCGGTGGAACCAACAGGAAAATTCAACTGCAGTAGCCACTGCTCAACCTAAAGAGGGCAGCACTGAGATGGTTTTAGATAAATTATTGCAAAATTGAGTAAATTTACACAAAAATCTCACAATCTGTACAGTTTTTTCACTGTAAATTTGCCCTTGAGGATTAATTTATGAGTTTATCTGCAAAGAAAGTTGATTTTGGTTAAGTTACTGTTAAAATTTCAAAGTCATAACTCGTATAGATTTAATGTTATAACTCTGATATTTCGTTATTTTGAAATACAAACACAAGATATTTAAAATCAACGACGTAATTTCAACATAAAGTAACAATTTTAGGATTCAATGTAATCATTTAGATTCATGATGTCCATTTCTAAATCAACAGTGGTAATCCTGACATTTTGTAATGTTTTTCTCACCTTTTCATCCAGATCCTCATCGCTCTCATCCAGGTCCTCGTGCTTCAGGCGCCACTCGTACTCAACGTGGACGTGAGCGTTGAATTTTCCTGCCAGAGCTTGATTGAGCTGTAAACACACACACAGCTTACTGACAGCTCCTGAGGCATGATGGAGACTCTGGCAGGTTTTAATACTCACCAGCTCCTCACACTGAGCATGTTTGAGCCTCCGGGCGATATCCAGTGGCGTCTCGCCGGCTTCGTTCGCTGAAAGTGGAAATAAAAACAGTAGTGGCGTGTTATTGCCCTCTAATTCCCGCTGCAGACGAGGACAAACATGCTGCCCATTTTCTCTCCTATGTAATTAAGCCGTTTCCCACACTGAGCAGCTTCTCTGAATCTGTTATCTGGCTGTTTTGTTGTTTTCAGAGCACAAACATGAGTGTTGAGGGAAAAGGCCAGCATGGTTTGTTCTCTGTGTGGGAACCTGATTATGAGGAAACGACTTCTGAATAAATTCAACATGCTGAACTTACCAATGTCTATGGAGGCTTTTCCTCTCAGCAGCAGCTTCAGACATTCGCTGTTGTCGGTCAGGCAGCAGTAGTGCAGCGCTGTGCTGCCTTTGGCCGTCTGCTTGTCCAGATTCAAACTGAACAGGAAAAAAATAAACACTTTACTCTGGATGATTTAAGAGCCTAGAAAAAGACATTTTTGTTGCATTAAAACAGTGGGGTCACAGATTTGGGCCAAATCTGGCAAAATTAAACTACTTGTGGGCCAAATATTGATTAAATTTAAAATGAAAACATGAGTTTAATGTGAATTTTCTGTCTTGTTTAATAAACTACCTGCTCAATAAACAAAAGTTTTTTGTTTTTTTTATGAAATCTGTGAATCCTTACACAACTAAAACATAAGACAGACTTTGGACTGTAGTCTTATTAAAAAAAAGTGTAAATGTGTTGTTTTCAGTTGTTTTCTATTTTGTTAACAAAATTTTAACGGGGTGTCCAATCAAAATCATTTCAAGGGCTGCAAATGGCCCCGGAGCCATACTTTGGACTCCCCTACTTTAGACCCACAAACTGGAGAAGTTTGTGTGTCTGAGGTAAACTAAAGTGGAGACAGAAAATCTGTAAAAATATTTATTCATCTCCTCTTCCTTCTCCTAGTGCTAACTAGAAACAACCAATCAGAGACAGGAGGCGGGTCTTAGCGCTGTCAATCACAATCTGCTATTCTGTATTTAGCAAAGCCTGTCATGAATGCTAAAGCTTGTTAGCGTAGCCACTAATGGCGCCAGATAAACGGTTTTCGTGCAACAGTAAGTCGTTTTTCCACCATTAGCACATTTAGCAGCGAATACATGAGAATGACCAACATCGTCAAGTCCCGCCTCCTGATTCTGATTGGTTGTTTTTGGTGCATTTTTTCAGGCAGTGATAGCAGCTCAGGGAGGAGATGAAGGAGATCGATCGTTTCACAGATTATCTGTCTCAAACAGTCACATATATAAAAAAAACATTTTTTATCAAAGTTACATCCTGCAGCTTTAATGAGCCGTAGTCGTCTTCGCTCCGTTTACCTGTTCTGAGTGAGAAAGTCGACGATGTGAAGAGACGTTCTGTCTACCAGCCTGACGGCCAGATGAAGCGCCGTCTCTCCCTGTTCCTGAAGAGAAACCGCCATTTTAGAAATATGGAGGACAAGCGGAGGAAAAGCCGAAGAGCTTTGTTCTGTTACATGTCCGTTGGCGAGCGGTATCGGTTCCATGAGATCCAGCCCCTCGGCGTAGACCTGGATGAGGGAGAAGATGTCCCGCGCCTTCACCGCCTCGCACAGTGTGTGGAGCCGCGCCGCCGCGTCGGCGCCCCTCTTCCTGGCAAAGCGCTTCTCGATGTATTTGGACGTGATGAAGTCTTTCCTCGTCTGCCTGGTGAAGGGAAGCAGAGACGTAATTACTCAATGAAAACGAGGTTCACCTCCCCTAAGAATTCACATTTTGTCACAAACTGTGAGAGACGAATATAAAGTTGAGTATAATAACAGATCAGTATCTTAAAAAAACGGATTTTCATTAAGCTGCGGTATGCATTTGTTCACACCTGCTTTTGTTTGTTTATTTGTTAGTAGATCATAAACCAATCCGAAAAAGACGCTCGTTTGTGCCAGTATCTATGCATCGTCATTCCTACGAATAAATGAGAACATTTTGGACTTTCCATACATTTTGTGTCTTGCATTGAGTGATTTCTCCCTCTGAAGAAAAATAGTATTGAGCATACACTCAGATGTGTGAGAGTAAAGCAGCTAAATTGGGATTAGGAATCCAACTTCCTAATCCAAAGGTTTCCCTGGGACCAACGGTTTCTCATCTTTGACCAGCTTTCATTATTTTTAATATTTCACAGTGAGGTTTTCTTCTTCCATAAAGGCCAAAGTGGTGAAGAGCAAAACTGATATTTTTCTTTTTTACAAGCTTTGCTGAGTGTCTGAGGTTTTTGCTGAAACATGTTTTTCATTCAGTGTGTAGAAAATACAGAAATTTCACTCAAGAGCAGAAATACTTAAAAATATTTTTTACCTTGACTCAAGTAAAACTACTCCTAAATGTAAATTTTTTCGAAAACGTCACTCTACAAAATGTAATTGAGTAAATGTAACTAGTTACTACCCAACTCTAAATATTAAGTGATGGTGCAAATTTGTAATTTAATCTTCGTCTTCCACAGAGCCAGTGGATCAGACTTACATGTCACTCGCTGGGTTCGGTTTCACCACGTTTTCAGCATTTAAGCAAGCTTCCATGATTTCATTAAAGCCTGCATTCCCCACGTTCTTGGCCAGCTGTGGAGAAAAACACACACAGATAAATTCAACCGAGTCGTTTTTCTGAACCGAGAGCAGCAGTGCGGCCAACACGCCCCTGTCCTGAGCGTTGACAGCGGAGCCAGCCGCGCCCGACTGTGGCGTCTTAAACAATCCCGACTGGAAGCGTTTAATCCCAGATGTCCCACAGGCTGTAAATCTCTGCACCAAACCGTGATTTGAAAAAAAGCCCAACTCAATCTCAGCTACCCTCATTTTGGGAGGAAGAATGAGGCTGAGGATGCTGCATCCTCTTATTGTTTCCACACAGACAGAGAAAAATCAATGACGCAGAACAAAGGAGAATATTTGTACCAAGAGCTCAGAGGTGCTGAGGACATCCAGAGTGAGGGACTGGATCCGAGAGTAGTGGACGCCGAGCTCCCTGTGGATCCCTGAACATTCAATACAGGTGAGGACGCCCAGGTTGGTGGACAGCCACGTCGGATCTGAGGAGCAAAAACAGATCATCCAAAAATAGACATGATTCCTGCAACTTCTGACAAAACTTTGATGTTTCCTCACATAAAGCTGTTAGCTTGGGAAGTGACGGACGTCAAGCAGCGCCTTCTGTTTTTACAACCCTTACATTACATTAAAATGCAAAAGTAGTCACATTCCTTCATTTGTTTACATTTATTCACATTCAACTACAAAATGGTGGATTCTGCTGATCTGTAGTGCAGCTAATTTTTCTGTTGGCACTTGAAAACATTTGGTGCTCTTCGCTGCTGCCCATCATGTTTCCCTCTACATATGCAGTGAAAACAAGCTTAGACAGAGAACTACACATTCATTCTGTGCTGATGACACTTTAGTTTTCATTTATTTATTATCACCTGGTTTCTCCTTGAGAAATGGCATTCATTAAATTTGACATGAATAAATAGCTGTTTGTTTTTATAGATGTATAACTGAGTATTGTTATAAATTAACATTAAATGTGGATCTGTCCAAAGCTGTTAATGTTTTCCAGAACTACGCGGCAGAGCCTCAGTGATGGGAGGGTTTCTGTGTTTGCGACTCACTGGGCGCTCCGCAGTCGCAGCACACGTCGTTCCCCGTCATCCTCTTCACTTCCCCCAGGATCGCCTTCGTCAGCTCCTGAACGATGTTGTTCTCGCCAACATGGTGGTCGCCTTTAAACGCCTGATTTAACGCCTCCTCCTTACTGTTCTGCAGAACCGAGATCCAGCTGGAGTGAGGAGATAAAACAATAAAGCAGATTTAGAGTTCAGTGGGAAAAAGAAGAAGGCGAGGAGAAGAGGGAGGAAAACGGTGGCTGGGTTTGAGATCGAAAGCGTTGGGAAAGACGGTAAGAAGGACGAAGTGAGAGAACTGGTACGTACATCTGACAGTCCTGTTCGTCCTCAGCTTGAAAATGATACGTTCGGTCATCTAGAACAAAAAGAGACATATTTAATTTAGTCAAATATTCCTGGTTTAGATACCAAGCAGCTACATCCATTCAGACGTAGCCACATGTCTTCATTTGTTTCACATCTTGACACATTACAACTAAACAGTGGTGGCCACATTTCCACTAAGGCGCTAATAGCACAGCTAATTTCACAGTTAGCGCTCTAGCGCAAACTGTAACTCAGTAGTTCAGCTCACGTGACGGAAAGCTCCGTCTTAGCTTTCCGTCACGTGAATCAGAAATCCTAAGTGTGAACTTTTGCTGCTGCTGAACTAAAACTAAACTCTTCACAGTGACAGTTGCGACCAAAGTCTGTGGGAAAAGCGCTGATAAGAGCTAAACTCAAGCCAAAAACCAAACAAAAAGCCACAGCTGTCAAAGCAAAGCCACAGATATGAAACCTACGTGAAATGAGGTCGAAGCTCCTCTTCTCCTCAGGGTTGTGCTTCACCTGGCAGGTCAGCAGGTTGAGTTTAGCCGGCGGCCTGTTAGCCTAGCAGAGACGAGCCGAGTGAGCGGGAATGTTTAATGGAATGCGGCCAAAGGAAACATCTGATAAGCTGCTGCGAGTCGGACGCCTGTGATGCGTCCAGACATGGGAACAGGCCTGAAATCTCCCTGGGTTGCTGGGAAACGAAACAGGCCTGCAGGTGGCGGGGTCAGAGGTCAGAACTGAACTTACTGTGCCGTGTGAGATGGTGAGGTATCCGTTTTTAGCCATGCATTTTCTCTTCTGCCAGACTTTTCTCAACCTGAACACAGAGGATTCAGGCATAAGCCAACAAAGCCAAACAGATTCATTATTAACCAAAAAGAGGCTAAAAAGTTAATTTAAATTCCCAGTTATACCTTAATAAACAGTTCAGCATTTCAATTTAAAATCCCTATAATTAACAGAATTTTTTTTCAAAACATCAAAGAAAGAAAACTATACTGAGCAGCCGGTTGGGGCTCCTTTTGCCTGGAAAGCTGTCAGTGCAGCGTGACGGGAACATGATCAGCCTGAGGTTCTGCTGTTGGTTCTGCTTATCATTTTTCTCTTTATAATAATAAATAATGTAAATAAACGTATAATAAACCAAACCCAGTGCTACTAGGGTCATTAAAGCAGGGCTCAGATCAGGCTGTATCACTACAACTTTTTCCTTCCACTTAACTTTCCACGGCTATGCTTGAATTTCATGATCTGAACAGCCATATTCTTAAAAAAAAAAAAAAAAAAACATTTCTGGGTTAAAAATAATTTATATTTGGTCCCATATGGATGAATTAATTATTAAAATGAAGAGAAGAAACGCGGAGCGACATGCAGATCGGCTCTCACCCGTCGCTCTTCTTGAACAGGAAGCCGCTGCGCTCGGTGCCGTGCTCCTTGTTGCCCTGCGGCTGGTGCAGGCTGTACGTCGCGCTCTGCCGCACCTGGGAATCCTGGGAAAACACAGCCGGCACAGACGACATGTCAGGGGGGGAGGAGAAATCTAAAAACGCATAAATTAAATCAAATTAAATCAGATAATTTTCTAGATGAACTTCCACTAACGCACGCCGATGAACTTTGAGTTAAAAAAAAAAAAAAAAAAAAAGGTTCATTTAATAAATTTTTTTTCTGTCAGATTAAGGAATAATTTTTGCTCTTTATTTACTTTCATACAGTTGCTAATATGTGTAACCATGGCAACGAGGGAGCAGCTGATGACACCTGATCTACCGGCCATAAATCCCAGAGGAGTTGAAAAAGACGCTTCCAGGAAGTTCAAACTGTTTCTTTCTCCCATTAGAGATTTAAAGAGGAGCAGCAAAAGTTAAGGAGGTGGAATAGCAGGGCTGGGTAAATAAATGATTATCGTTAAATGTCGTCTCTTTTCCTGAAAAGTGTTTGAAAGTCAGAAAGTTACAGCAACCTCAGCAATTTCTGATTTATTTTGGATGGCATGAGTTATAGCAACATTTAATTTCCTTTTTGGGTAATTTTTAAAATTTGAATTATGAATCGAAGCTGGAAGGTTTTTGGTCGGGATTCAAACCCACAACCTCCTCACTGTGCTCCGCAGATCCATCTGGGTGTGAAGTTAACAGACACAACGGCCTCTTCTGGATTCCCTCTCCTCCTCCAGCTTTTAGACAGATGCTCCCAGATTAATCAGGACCTAATTAAAGCCGTTTTTCCTGTAAAAGGGGAATATTCTCCATGCCAGCAGCTGCAACACATGGTGCAAACATGACAGATCCAGCAGCTGGAGGCCGATTGTTTTCAAGACGATTCAGAAAGCTTTCCGTCCAAATCTGATCCAGTCTAAAATCTATTCATGCATTCTGTTATAATTTCAAGTTTCCAGACAAAAGAAATAAAAAGAGAGGAGATAATCTGCATCAACAGATGGACACAAATGAGATTTTTCATATTCAATTGTAGCAACAACAACAACCACCACTAAATGGATGAAAAGAGAATATTTCTGTCAGAATGAGGTCATTTCCTTTATGATGGGTAAAGAACTGAAGTCTGACTCCATCTGCAGACACATAAAATTCCTGTAAGAAAAACAACAGTCTAACTTTGTCATGAAAAAATGAACCAACAGAAACTAAATACAGTTTTTAAAGTGTAAAAAAAAAGCACAAAACCAACAGAATAAAAATGCACCACTGGAGCCTTAAAGTAACAAACAGAGAAGGGAACAAATCCACTTACTCTCCTCGCCTTGTTTTATGAACCGTGACGGCAGCAGCAGGAGAGAGGAGACATTTTTAGAAAAAAGGACAAACTTTACGTTGTTTCACTTTAAAAATATGTCACATTTCTGCATGTAAGCATGTTAAGGTTATTAAACAACAATGAATGTCGCCACAGACAGAATCTGAAACAAAAAACGATTTCCACTTTTTAATGATTACCACAAACATCAATGTGTTTTTTGGGAGTAAATGTAAAACACCAACATGCAGTAGAGCATAAATTATTTTTTAATCAACCAAGATTTAATCAACCAAGCTGCAGGTTCTTTATTTCCACCAGGTGTGAAGAAACACAGGCTGAGAGTTTTCCTGGTTTTGGTCCTGTTGGACTGCACTACGCTCAGTTGGACATGAAATCAGAGTAAAACCCATTAAGGTTTGTGGTTGTAACCCGACTACTTGTTATGCGTCTCACCTCCTTCTGCTCCACCTGCAGAGCCGTTTTCAGGACGTCTCTCAGCTGAGTCAGCTGTTTCCTCTCCTCATCCTGCGCCTGCTTGATCTGACCCACAGAAACAAAAACTCACGTCAAACACAGAACAGAAAAAGCAGCAGTCATAAACAACACAATCAGTAACTCCATGTTGTCGCGTTTATGCGAGTTTATTGCTAATTTTCCTCAAAAACAGACAAAAACATTGGGTTCAAGTGATACCAACTCCCACCAGCAGGTGGCAGCATTTCTTGCTTCTACTGCATTCCTGAGTCAAGTTATCAAAGCAAAAATGGAGCCACTAAAGTTTGTTAAAGACAGAAATGTTTGTGTCCAGTCTGTCTGATTCTTGTCCGTTTTCCTCTAGACCAGATTAAATACGGAGGTAAACAGGAGGAAACTCACAGCAAACAGCTGCAAACACGAACGACACAAACTCCAAACACAAATGCAACAGAAAAATTCTGCAAGAAAGAGAAAGGCAAATAACAAAAACAACCGCTAATATGAAAAGCTGCAAACTCGACTCACCAACGGAAGTCCTCCAGGCCACTAGGGGGAGGAAGCATAACAAACCTTTATTTAAACTCCATTTTGTTCTTTTTTTGGTCGACTCCCCCTGGTGGTCTGGAGGACTTCCGTTTTGTGGAGCGAGTTTGCAGAGTTTCATACTTGCTGTTTTTACTAATTGCAGCGTTTCCCTCTCTGCTCTTATTTTCTGTGGTTACAACATTTATCGTTTGCATTTGCTTTGCTTGTTAAACCATTGTTTAAAACTGAAGCATGTAAATTTCACATATTTGTTTAAACTGTCATCATATCCTGACAGTTTAATATAAGACAGAAAAATATCAAGCTGCTCTGCCTTCCCCCATTGTTATCTAGAAACAACCAATCAGAGCCAGGAGGCGGGTCTTAGTGCCGTCAATCACCCTTTATTTTGATTGTACAACATAATGAACAGGTAATCACCAGAAGTGGAGGAGATAAAAGCGTTCTTACCGTGTGCAGATCTGTAGCCAGTTTCTCTATCGACGGCTTCAGGTTCTCCACGGCTTTCAGGCCGTCCTGAAAGAAACTGGACAGCAGCAGAGTCAACGACGGGACGGAGCTGCACACGTCGGCACGTCTGCAGAAGCTTACTTGCACTGTGCGTGGAAGTACTTGATGAGGTTCTGCAGCAGGTCCACCCCCTTCTTGATCTTGATCTCGTTGACTTTGAGGAGGTACTGTAATCAGATCGAATGCAGATCAGAGCGGAGGTCAGGCGGGGTTCAGACTCATCGCTTTCATCTTCCAGAGACGCTTCAAAGAAAAACCCTCAAAGTGAAGCAGCGCTGCAGTTTCCTCTACATGGACCCATGTGTTAAATAGCCTACAGTTCTGCACTTATGTGAACCATAATTAGATTCTGAAATTTATTTAAATTAAGATTTACTTTATTTTGAAAAACCAAAAATGGCTGCCTGTGAAGCTGCGCTGCTTTCAGCAGTGAAGTAAAACCAGAGATGATGGGAAAAGGAGAAAGAGGAACCAAAGGAAGGTTAAACTGAAAGCATTTTAGTTCAAGTCTGTGAAAATGACAATGTTAAAGAATGCAACTTTTATAAAAAAACTATGTTTTTTACATATTTGTTAAAACTCTCCCCATGTCGAGACATTATGAGACAGATAATCTGTGAAAAGACCAGCTGCCTTCACCTCCTCTGAGCTGCTACAGCTGTCCGAAGAAATGGACCAAAAACAGCCAATAAGAGCCAGGAGGCAGGTCTTAGTGCTGTCAATCATCCTGATGCACTTGTTGCTAAATGTGCTAATGGGGGAAAAGCAACCTACAGTTAAAGGAAAACCGTTGGCTTTGCTAACTAGCCTTAGCATTCAGATCGTGGTTTGCCGACAGGAATAAACTGGCAGCGCCAAAGAAGATTGTGATTGACAGCGCTAAGACCCGCCTCCTGACTCTGATTGGTTGTTTCAACAAATATGTAAAAACATAAAAATTCAAAAATATTTTATTTTTCCAAAGGAAAATTAAATAAATTAAAAAGTTACATACTGCAGCTTTTAAGTATTTGAACGACACCAACGTAGTTGATTAATATAATTTCACGCGTAACATTTCAGAAACATTTTGAACAGAACAGCAAAGCTAAATGTCGGTTAGTTTTTCCCATTAAGATTAATCTCTGCATGTTCAGATGAGAATATTAAAATATTTTCAGAAGAAGATGTTGAGGTAACGTTAGATGGAAATGATAATCATCTGGCCGTGACACGATGTGCAATATTTAAATATAAACGTTCATTATGTGATCCTGAAGCGAACTCTGACCTCGCACATCTGCAGCTGGAAGAAGCGCCTCTCCTTCTCCATCTCCTCGGCTATTTCCGCCCCGCTGATCTCCGTCCGGATCATCCCGTGCTGCCGAGCGTGCTCCTTCTTCTCCTTCTCGATTTTGGTCCTGGCAGGAAGAAACGCTGCCACAGGTCAAAGCAACACAAACACAGAAACGGAAAAATATGGCGGAAAACATAAAATAAAAAAAATCAGCCCTGCAAGCCGTCAGCTGGAGGCGAGTTTTGATCTTTTCCTCCGTTTACAGAGTCAAAAATATGCGCAGGTCAAGAAAAGAAAAAGTAAAAAACTATAAAAATACAGAAGTCTGATTTACAGCTACATTTACTGTATTAGAATAAAAGGCATCTAGTTTTCAAATTATTTTAGGCTCAGTTTTACAAATGTTATAAAATTAGGATTTGGGTCAAACTCTTTCAGAACACCTGATATATTTATCTGTATTTGATTTATTAAATTAAAGCTAATTTGGTGCAGCAAAGTCGGATTTTCAGTAAAAATACCTGGATAAATTTGGTTCCACTAATATAAAAGTTACTTATGTTGTAATTTTCATTGTAAGAAAATTATGGCAATAAACATTTTACTCTGATTAAAAATTAACTAATAAGTATCATTCTTGAACTGCAGTTGGGGGCCACAAAAAATAATTTCAAGTGCCACAAACGGCCCCTGCGCCGCACTTTGGACACCTCTGGATTAAAGAAGCATCAAGAAAACCAGTTTCAGTTTCAGGAACAACCCAATTAACAATTGGTTAATTGGTTAACCAATTGGAGTTAATTGGTTAACCAATTAACTCCAATTATTTGGAGTTAATTGGTTAACCAACCAATTAACTCCAAATAATACAAAATAAAAGGAAAATCTAATTTTGAAATTAAGCACCAAGCTGCTCGTCAGACAACATTTAGGGCTGGTTTTTAACAAACAGATAGAAAAAGAGGCGATCTCATGCAGCGGCTCAACATTTTAATTTGCTGTTTATTTAAAACAACAAACTCAGTTTCCTGATTATCAACTCGAGAAAATCCAAGAAATTTTAAAAGCAGTTCTAAAAGCAATTCACGATTTAATTTCCTTTTATGAAGGAAATCATAGTTTTTTTTAAATTTCATAAACATTTCTTGGATAATCTGAAATCTCTAAGGAGGGAGAATACTGTTTCACAGCCTTAAAAGTCCTGAAGCAGGATTTTAAAGCAGATTTCTGGTTGGTGTGTTTAATCTGTCTGCTGGGAACAACTGAAACACAACAAGCTGATGCAAAAGGCTCAGAATAAGAAAACCGTTCTTATTAAAGCAGACACAAAGATGAGGTGAGGATCCCGGACGAAGGAGAAAAACAAGCAGGAAACGGGCCTCTACTGACGGTTTCCCCATGAGTAGAGTGAAATAATAAGCTGAGACAGCCGGGGACATTCACACCACCATGTCCTCTGTGTCAGCACAAAGTCTGAGCTGCATCACAGGAAGACGGGTTACCCTCTCAGTAAAGAATGTCCTTTGCTGCTTGTAAAACACATAAAAGTGGCATAAATACTCCTGGTTTCTCCACGCGACAACAAGGACGTGTTGAAGGCAGACACTCAGAACGGCAAAACACATTTACTTAAATCATTACAGCGATAGTTAGTTTATTAAAAAGAAACCAAGACGTCGGCTCATTAGACACATAAAAATGGATTTTCTTACACTTTGGTTTCGTAATCCTTCCAGGCTTTGTCAAAAGGCTTTTTCAAATCCTGCAAAACGGAACAGGAAAGAAAAGACAATTCAGTGAATGAAATAACACCAAACAGCACAAAAGGCTGAAGTAGAAGATTACGACTAGATGGTGTTTAATTGTTTTATACATAAATTAATTAGTGCTGGGATTCAATTGGACGTTTTAGTCAGATTAACTGCAGGATTTGTAAATAATTAATCGCATTTTAATCCACAAAATAATCAACATTTTCAACTCCAAAAAAATTCTGGCTGCTAAATTATTGAAGTAATAAACATCCGAGCTCAGTTTTAATCTTATTTAAGTTATTTAATCATCACATTGCAGAAAAGTTCATCTTTCCTGTTTCAGGAAGTCCTGATCATTGATGGTGAACTGTGGATGCTAGCATTAGCGTTAGCTACGTGTTTAGCATTGAGATGCTATTTTAGGCTTGAATATCTAAAATAATTTGGACACTTTAATTAGAATCAAACAACTGGGTTACGTTTTTAACGAGTTAAAATGATGCAATTAATTACTTACTAACACAGTCACATGTCAGAATGGCTTAATCAAAGGCCAGACCTAAATCCAACAGAGAATCTGAAGCAAGATTTCAAAACTGATGCTCTGCATCCAGCTGGAGGTACTCTGCAGTAACGATGGCTTAACCACAATAAAATCCCAATAAAATGTCCTGAAAACCAAAAACCTGTGACTGTATTTGCCGAGTCATCCTCAGTGCTGATGAAATCCTCATTCAGCAAAATGTCTAACTCCACTCTCATCTTTCATGTTTGATCTCTCTGTTTTCTCAGGAGAGTCTGTAACTTTGGATCCGACCGGTGACCTCAACCTGTTGGCATCCAGGCTCTTCCTGTCACTCCCACCCATCCACTCACCAAGAGGAGCACAAAGAGACGCGACAAAAGCTGATCCCCCAGTGAAAGAGCGGGGCTAAGAAGGAAACGGTGAAAGAAAGGGAGGCGGCGAGGGACTGAGAGAGAGGAGAAAGGTTTAGCGGAAGGAAGTGTCAGAGCCAGAGAAGGGGGAAAATGGCAACAATGGCTAAAAATACCACACAGATATTTCTGGGAAGGGCAGAGAGCGCCGGGCAAAGCACTTCTCAGGAGGGCAGAGGACTTCCAGGGCTTCCCTCCTGAGCCTGAAACTGACTGCAGGATGGAGAAGGAACAGCGATCCAGACTAAACCTTGCAGATGTTTCTGCACAGCTGGGTGTGCAGCTTCGCCGCCGCAGACTGTTTAAATCAACATCAGTCCTCAGTCTGCAGGTTTTCTACAGGATTTGACTGAAAGGGTTTGAGAAACGGCTAATTTTGGGTCTGGAGAAGCATCTCCATGTTCATTTTTACAGGTTGTGGATAGTGGTGGGCTCACTTAAGCTAATCTGCATTATAGCTAAGCTAACTTTCCGTTTAGCTAACATTGAAAACATTTAGCAGATTTAGGTTCCCAAATTAATTTGTCTTGATAAATCCTAAGGTTCTAATTTACTCGACTGTTTTGTAAACTTTCAATTCTTCAAGTAGTTACATGTTTATATTCATGCTCTTATTTTGAACGGGGAAGACCGTTTCCTCTCCTCGCATTAGCTTCTGTAAATAGCCAGGATAAAGTCAAAGTTATTTAACATCCTCGCTTTCAATGGGTGTAAAACACACCGATACAAAACAAGAAATAATCCAACTCACTGCTGACTACGTATTTTTGTTACCGCTCGCCACCCATTCACTCGCGCTCCAAGAAAGTGAGCAGTGATTGTCCAGGACTGGGAGAAGATGTCTGCTAAATCTTCAGCACAATCTAACTAAAAAAATTTCAGAAAGAATATAAAAACAACATGCATGAGGAAACGAACGGCGACTGTGGACTGCGTCAAACTTTGATCATCACTTAGAAAAGAAGCACAAAGAAACGTTAGCTATGTTTAAGCGATGTTAGCAAAGCTAGCGAGTTAATGTTAGCAATCTCCCTCTGTAGCAAAATTCCTTACCCAGCCCTTACACAAAGATTTAGTCAATATTAGCTATAAATATTAAGCTAGCTACCCGTCTTCAGTGTAAACTGGAAGTTTTATGGCGCTAGCTAACATCACCTAATATTAGCATGGGGTGCTAGTCTTGGTTTTGATTTCAGTGCACCAGTCCCTCCTTCAGCTGAAGTCCTCCACACCATGACTCTGCCACTGCCATGCTACACAGTTGAAGCTTGTAGCTTTCCACCATCGTGTTACTTTTCAGCATTTTTTCACCAAAACCTTCAGATTTCCAGCAGAAAGCAGAAGATGGGTTTTATTTTTTAGTGACTTTATGAGAAATCTGCTGTCAGTAGGTTCTTCTGTGCATCTTAGAGCCACTAATCCTTAATAACTGATGGTAAAATGCTGCAACTTCCCATTTCCAAGGTCCAGTGAATGCAGAATGACTTAAATTATGTTTTTCTCATCTGAGCCCACATTAACTAATGCAAATCTGAAGGTCTCACCATAAAAAGGACATTTCTTTATATCCAGAGTCCAAACTTCAGCAGCAGGGTTTTAATCTTTATTACAGATCAATTTAATCTGAAGCAGAAAGAGTAATGGCTGCATAATGCGCTGCCTTATCTCGTTCTTGAGTTAATTTGTCTGCAGACTTCCTCAATGTTTTACAACATCCACTTTAACCATCACTTAATCATGCTGTCCTGCAGGTCTGGACACTTTCTCAGACCAAAAGGAGGCGGGATAATTGAAGCAGTGTTAGCCGACTACTGGCTGGCAGAGTTTTCTTCTTTTCCCCCGGCTCATTTCTCGAGATGTGTGTCCAAATATAAAGCAGCCAGCGGCTCATTGGCTGTCGGTCGGGTAATGAGAATCATCTGAGGCGTAATGAGAGATAAGTGGGAAGAATTACAGAAACTGAGCCGTACTCCAGGGAAAGGAAGGAGCTGAGTTAAAACACAGACGAGAAGACAAAGACAGGAAATGACAGACAGGGAAAAGTCACGGGACGGGAGGAAAGCAGCCGAGGTCATGAGGGCAACACGTGTATCCATGGCAACCGGCTCGTTAGACCGCTTTCTTTAATCACATCAAACTTCGTGGAAACCAAAGCCAATCATGTGTCTCTGGGGTGAAAGGTCACAGACTGTCAGGGACAGTAACGAGCTGCGATTGGATTACAGAGCATGGCTGCTGGACACTCGGCTGTCTGGCTCAGATTATCGCTCCTTACTGGACCTTAATCTCCGTCTCAGGCACCAAAGATCCCAAACTGTCAGACGGGTCCGACACGCAGGAGATTCTGTACAGGTCTGGATTATTTTAACGTTATTTTATCCAGTTATAAACCTCACATCCTTCTGCTGCGCCGACAGTTCTCAAACCGTTTGGTTCCTTCAGGACCCGGACGGTTCTAGAATAAAGTTCTACGTTTCTTTCATAAAGACCTTCAGTAACCAGCAGCTTTACCCCTTTGACGCCCTTCAGGTCTCCTTTCAGCAGGCTGTCCAGGGGGAACGTGATGATGTTGTTCATGTTCTGGAACTGGAGGAAGACGGAGGAAATTTTACAGATTAAAACTCAGCAACTGCTGGAATCAAACCAGTGAAAATAGTAAAACGTTTGTTTTAATTCAGGAAGAGATGAAAATCTGATCAAATCTTTGGCTGGATTTCTGTGAGAGAGCGGTTTACATGTTGGGACCCAGCTGAGATGGACCTGGGAGGTTTTAGAGAGCACACACACACACAGGGTTCGATACACACACACACACACA